ATTATTGTATGCTTTCTACACCCTAAATGTCAGCGGATGATTCATATGGGGATAGACTTTTATATAGGACATTGGGTGATTGGGTGATGCGTCATTGCCTTAGGGTTCTCGGAATTTAGGTCAATTGCATACGGGGTTTCTATGGATTTTTTTTTTTTCATTATTCTCTTTGGAAAATATTTATTTTTCTATTACAAAAGATAGTTCCGAAGAGCAAATTCACTCAATAAATTATCTTTAGACTTTGAGGAAAAAAGAACATTTTGGATTGGCTTATTGATTCTATTTGAATAATAAAAAAGCTTATATTAGATCAGAGTAATAAAGCAGTAATGATTGATGATGTATGGAATTTTTATAAATTAAAAAGGGTTAAATATTATAAATAGTGGTTATCAATGTTTGAGAGAAACAAATCGGTAGTGGAAATATGGAAACAGAGACTGGGTAGAAGTCGATTGGAATATTAGTGGTTGCCCGAAATATTCAACAGACAATATAACAGCGAGATGACCACACGCATCATCGTGTGTCTATGATTAAATAATTCAAATGCCGAGTTGTACTGTTGTACTGGCATACCGGTGAAATTTGAAATAGATGGTGATGATGATGGTGGTCTGTCGATAGAAATCCTACAACCTACGATCAACCAAATTGACGAACCAAACACTGTTACACAAATACATTTGCACATTCTTGATTTCTGTGATGAATATCTCGAGTAATTTCTAATACCCAAACTAAACCTCTTTTTTTAATATTCACGGTCTCAATTAAATAGATTTTATCAATGAAATAAAATAATGATTGTTATTGACTTGTGAAAATTATAAAAAGTCTAGAGGCTCTTACTTTTTTATTGAGATGCTAGTGAAATAAAAATAAAATCCTCTTAAGCTTGACGTATTTACTTTATGACTCTCTTAGTTATTTAAGCGGTTAGATTTTCTTCAAGTTGTACAGATCAACGCCAAGGGTGAGAAAAATCAAAATTTGGATTCATGATTCTGTAAAACTTTGAAATTATAAAAAGAAAAAATAAAAAAAAATTTATTATTAAATTTGACTGCAAGCTGCAGGGAAAGATCATCAGAATAGTGATTGATTTTAACAGAAGATTTTTTTTCTCTGCCGTTAAGCTTTTAGGGGAGAAATTAGGGGAGAAAATGCTTTTAAAAAAATTATTTGTTGAGTAAAAAAACATCAAAAGAGAAAATTAAGCTTAAAAAATAAATTAAATTACATTTATTCCCACTTTATTTTTAAAATAATCATTTTTAATTGGAATAAAAAATTCAGGTGTTGAAATATTTAATAAAAAAATAAAGTGTCAGCAGTATGTGTGTATTATAAATCTTTAAATAGTTAACAAGCTCGATATCTGTAACATTTTCGCTATCAACAAATCTAGTTGGTGTTAGCCGTCGATCGTGTCGAACGTGCGTGACTTTGCCCCATAGAAAAAGTTATTTTACGATTATGTACTTCCGCTACTCTAGCTTCTTATACTACTACTAGTACTAGACAAAAAGAAATAAAATAAAAAAAAAAACGTAGGAGGTAAAAATGTAGCAGATAGATAGATGGTCGCGTACACCAGCAATTGCTGTATAGACTACTACCACTTACTCTCTGTACATGTATAAAGTAAGAAGATAGTTGAAGCTAGACGTGAAAACAGAGCCAATAGATTGCCCGTATAGTACGACGAGTCTTTCGATTTCCGGCAAGTACGTGTAACGTCAATGCGACACTCTTCACTGAATCTTCGTCATCCCACAAGATATTGAGCTTGTTCTCACCATTAAACATACAATGTACTTTGCTCATACTTACATCATCGCTTTTTCTCACCGATCTTCCGTAAAATTTCACAAAATCTAATATTTAATGATTAATGTTTAACATTATAATAGAAAAAGGAAGATAATTAACAATCTCGGAAAATTTTCATTAAAACAAATGTCATCTAGAAAGTCAGACGGGCTCTAAATTATCTCATACCACAGGAACTAAACTCTCAGCTGGGCAAACCAACCTTTAGAGCATGAACAAACCAACACACCAAAGTTTAAACAACAACAGAAAAAAATTTAATGAAATTTAAGGTTATTTTGTATGAGGAGTCTGATGTTAAATAGGAAAAGTCGCGTCCTAAAAGTAAAATCATTAGACCTTATAACCCCCAGGGACATTGACCTCGGGCTGACTGCAGTGCTGTTTTAGATGTAAACTTGTCTTGAAACATTAATTACACCCCCTTTATCTTCCGGAGGTATAAACTTGTAAGAAATACTACCAACAGTTAATGAAACTATTTTTATTTATTTAAGCCAGTTAATGAAACATTTTTTTACTTTTATTATTTTCGTTATCCGATCTTCATTACAGGCTTTTTTAGTGCCTTTGAATTTTTTAACATGAAAAAACATTCCCGGTATTTTAAATGCATGAACTCGGTCACGTGTGTGCAACGTTGCTTATTTCGAGGATATTTCGAGCAAACGAGAGATACAAAAAAAAATATTATTTTTTAAGGGGCAAGAAACAGAAATACAAGTTGAAACTGAACCTCAAGGAAGGCTGAATATTGTCTCTGGGGTCTCATATTCCGTTTCACAGTGTCGTCCGTCAGTCCCCGTGATGATTCACTCGAGAATTTCGATCTCTTCTTATAACGATCCAGACATAGATAGGAATATGCCGTATTTTCTGTAATGTTTTTCTTTTATTTCGTTTTATCTTGTTGAAGTCAACGAATTTCATACCAATATAATGATACCAGTTACTGTTTTATTGAGAGTAAAAATATATTTCCATCAATAAAGTCAATTAATTTATTGATTTAATTAAGCCAGTTAGAGCTGGAGAGAGAAAAAATATAAATAACAACGAATAAAATGCCAATTTTATCCAACTGTTTTCATGATACGAAGAGTAATAAATATTGAAATCGTTTATTTTGTGTAAGCAAGCGAGTGTAGCATATCCGGGCATGAGCATTAATGTACCAAAAAGATACTAAACAACGATACTAGCGCTACATACCAAACTTTGTTTTGGTTCGTGTGTATATATATATATATATATATATATATATTGGTGTGTTATGTTATATTAACACGCGCCTGGAGGCCAGGAATTTTCTCACAATGGATGGACTGTGTTGGTGTACATGTAGTAGGGAGTTCACCTGCGAATCCACATTTGAAAGCTGCACCTGTGAAATCCACTGGGAACCCTTTCTCTGTACTGTGGAAAAGGATAAATCCGAGGTTAAAGGGTACAACCAGCAGGCCGAACAATGTGGAACAAACGTGTATGCGCATCCCTTATGAATTTCATCCGCGAGTAAAGAGGAGAAGGCCAGTTACCTTCCACTAAAAGTATACCAGAATAGTAATATGGCCAAGAGACTTCTACCCTTTCTCTCTTTTCAGTTATAGGTAAGATGCAAGATAAGAGATAGAATATAATATTGCTGGAGGAGAGTCCAACAGTTAGAGCAAGAGCAAGACCGAAAATCCTCATGTTCATCCTGTGTCCTCTTTCCCTTTCCCTTCTCCGGCGGCGTTGTCTACCCCCGACACTCAAATAATTCATTTCCCTCCGAACTCACCCCTGTCTCGTTTCACAGGCGCCACAGACAATTTGTAAGATTCTACCAATGCTATCCCAAGGAGAAAAAATAAAAAAAAATACAGCAAACACTATTTTTAGCCCACGCCCCAACATTTATTTTTCAAAATTTTTTCTTTTATTCCTACTGCTACTTATTCATCGATTCTATTTCATTACCTTTCAAAAGAAACTTTTTTTTTATTTTTATTACAAGAATTTTTTTTTATTTCACTGTGAAAGATTAATTATTTTGAATACACCGGTCGGTCTTTTATTTTTAAAATATTAATTGTTTTTTTTTTTAATTAAAAATATTTAAAAGTCAAATATTGATTGTAAAATAAACAAAGTAGATATTTAATTAGAAAAAAAAAAGTTTTGTTGAAAGATTAACAATAAAGTGAAAGAAAAAATTAAAAAAGAAAAAAGAAATTAGTATCTGGTGTACAATAGAGCATATGTGAGAGTAAAATGAACCCAGAAGTGGATTCTGCGCATCTAATAGAAGATTACAGCGAGAAGAAAATTGTGGTGAGTAGCGCAGTCGCGTATCGATCAGAACCCCTTCTCTAGATGAAAATTAAACGGGGAAACTAACGCGCACCCTCTTAATTCTGGCTCCAGTGGTCCACCGACCGCGCGGACCGTCACCATCATTTAATCTTGCTGTCATTTTTTTTTATTTTTCACATCACACATCTTACACTTTTATCTTAAATCAGCCATCCGATTAAATTTGCGATTTATTTATTTCCTATCTTTAAACCAACCCAACCCTGTATTAGCGGGCTTTTTTGAATCAGTGAGCTAGTGAACTAAAACTACCAGAGCCACAACAAAATAAATAACAACAATAATAAATTTATTTATAAAATTCTAATAAATTGCATTTAAAACAAGTGTCAAAACTTTCAGGTCGATAAACTATTTTATTATTTTTGGAAACTAAAAATTTGTATGAAACTCACGCAACAGGTTCATTGGCTAAACGATTTAAGTGTATAGACAGGTTGTGTCAGAAACGACAAGCGACGGATCGACGGTTTTATTTTATCTAGGCGGATTTTTTACCTCAACTGTTGCTAAAATTATACCTAATTAGCCGTAGATCAACAAACTTTAAATTATTTTAATTGCCAGATAAAAAATTAACTAGATGTGTATAGAGTTCAAATTAAATATTGATGGATGCAAATTCGATCGATTAAATGATAACTGAGGCGAATTAACATAAATTTGATGTTTGATTAGAGAAATGTAGGCACTAAATGAAAGGATTAGTCTATTGGAGAGTACATTCGACGATTGACCGAATGAAAACAAACAATTGCACCGCGTGGACGCGCAACTGTAACTAGTCTAGAAACACGTGTGAGATGATAATTATGAGTATGATTTACGGGAGATTAATTATTATTACACTTGCCTTAGGCGTCTGTTATTGTAACCCAGATGCTAAACGACTTTATGATGATTTACTCTCTAACTATAATCGATTAATTCGCCCGGTCTCTAACAATACCGACATCGTTGTTGTCAAACTCGGGCTGCGTTTATCTCAATTAATTGATCTGGTAAGTAAATTAATCTGTACTTTAATCAATAAGCAATAAATTAAATTAAAATTTTGTTTCAGAATCTGAAGGATCAGATATTGACGACAAACGTTTGGCTCGATCACGTAAGTTTCTATTTAAATTAATATTGATGCTCATAAATGATTTAATTTTAATTTAGTTGGATAGATAAATATAATGTGACATTAATTTATTGTTTTGTATACAGGAATGGCAAGACCACAAATTCCGTTGGGACCCGAACGAGTACGGTGGTATGAAGGAACTTTATGTCCCCAGCGAACACATTTGGCTGCCAGATATTGTTTTATACAACAAGTACGTGTTTCATTTCATTGATAATTATTATAAGTTTTATCTATTGAATGTACTAGTGTTTAAAAAATTTTTTACAGCGCTGATGGGGAGTACGGAATAACAACAATGACAAAAGCTGTGTTACATTACACCGGTAAAGTTTTATGGACTCCACCGGCTATTTTTAAATCTTCATGCGAAATAGACGTAAGGTATTTTCCGTTTGATCAGCAAACATGCTTCATGAAATTCGGATCGTGGACTTATGATGGTCTTCAGGTAATTGTTTATCTTGACCCAATTATTTAATTTTTTAATTTATATTCATTGACTATTAAATTTAAGGGTAATTATGCAGAAGTGGGGCCCTAACTATTTTTGAGTGTAAAAAATCGAAAAATTTATCTTTTTGAATATTTTTTTTTTTGACATTGTTTTTCTTCTTGATTTATGATAAAAATGATAAAAAGGATGAAAATGAAATATTTTGTAATTTTTCTTCTTTTGAAGTTCAAAAATTTACGATTTTAAGTTTTTTTTAATGAAATGGTGACGATACTATTTTTTCCGATTATTGAAATATTTTTTTTTTTGAAAGAACGATAAAAATAGAATAAATTAGAAAAAAAAAATTTAGAATATCATAAGTTGAAATCGTAAAATTCAATTTTCGTACTTTTTATCATTTTTATCATAAATCCGCCGTGAAGAAGAACAATTTGAAAAAAAAAATCAATTTTTTATTTTATTTCAATTTTATTTAAAATGGGTGGAGCCCCAGTTCTGTACACAAAAAACAAATTTCTTGCACCAAGAAAATTTTAAGGAAAACGAAAGTTATTTTGGAGCAAGAAAAAATTTTCTTGGCTCAAGAAACTTTGACTTCATTCAAAAAATTTTCAACCTTCCTTAATATTTTCTTGAGCCAAGAAAATTTACACTCCAGTCAAGAATTTTTTTTTTCAGTGAACATAATTACCAATTTAAGTAATAAACTATTTCAGATTGATTTGAAACATATAAACCAAAAATCGGGAAATAACAACGTTGAAATAGGAATGGATCTACGCGAATACTACCCTAGTGTCGAATGGGACATTCTGGGAGTTCCAGCAGAACGCCATGAAAAATTTTATCCGTGTTGTTTGGAACCATTTCCGGATATTTTTTTCAACATAACATTACGCCGAAAAACACTATTTTATACGGTTAATCTTATAATTCCCTGTGTCAGTATATCGTACTTATCAGTATTAGCATTTTACTTGCCCGCGGATTCTGGAGAAAAAATAGCTCTGTGTATTAACATTCTCCTGTCGCAAACAATGTTCTTTTTACTGATATCCGAAATAATACCGTCGACGTCATTAGCGTTGCCATTGCTGGGAAAATATTTACTTTTCACAATGGTATTGGTCGGATTGTCCGTTGTCGTAACAATTATAATACTCAATGTACATTATCGTAAACCCAGTACACATAAAATGGCGCCGTGGGTTAGAACGGTGTTTATACGAAAATTACCGAAGTTACTATTAATGCGAGTACCCGAAAATTTGCTGAATGAGCTGGCGGCTAATAAAATCTACGGACGAGGAAAGGCCGCTAAAAAAACCAAATTCGAAGCTGCCATTTCAGCGGCTATGAGATCGCCGTCAGTGATGTCGTCTCCTGAATCGATAAGGCGCAGAGGTAATTATTATCCAGATAAAAATGACATTTATTTTGTTAAGGGTAGTGATTGGATGATAAAAGATTTTTAAAAATGAATTTAGGTTGCAATGGATTACACACGACTTCTGGAAACAGATTTATTGGTCTAGAGGCTGGAATGGCCGGATATAATGGACTTCCGACTGTCATGTCGGGTCTGGATGAGTCTATGAGTGATGTAGCACCGAAAAAAAAATTTCCTTTCGAGTTGGAGAAAGCTATTCACAATGTCATGTTCATTCAGCATCACATTCAACGTCAAGACGAATTTAATGCGGTAAATTATTATCTATATTATTAAGAGAATAAGAAAAATTTTGTGTCCAGGATAGTCATATGATAAAATCGGTTTTTTTAGTTAAATTTAATGTCATTGCAAATGTCTTGATTTGAATTTGTGCATTTTCAAGGTTTCATATCATTCTCACTGATAGTCAATTTATTATAAGTATTTAGGCTGCATTCGAAAATACTCTATCTCTAGATTTAAGAAATGACCTCGTATCTTGTGAACTATTGACATTTTTAAAGATATAAGCTCATCCTGATGTTACACTCATCAAGACCTTTCATTTGAGTACCCACATCAATTTTTCATATATTTTATATATTTATATATATGTATATATGAAAAATATATAAAAATGCCTGTGGGTACTCAAATGAAAGCTCTTGATGAGTGTAATATCGGGATGAGCTTCTATCTTTAAAAATGTCAATAATTAAAAAAGTACAGTGCAATTTAACAAAAGTCATTATTTAATAAAGCAAAATTTTAATTATTTATAGCTCACATGTCACGGCAGTCACATAATGATTGCAAGGTTGCTAGTTTTTATTACTAATTTTATTAATTTAAATTATAATATTTTATTTTTTTATAATTTAGGAAGATCAAGATTGGGGATTTGTTGCGATGGTACTCGATCGTTTATTCTTGTGGATATTTACAATAGCCTCGATTGCTGGTACATTTGCCATTTTATGCGAGGCACCCTCACTTTACGACGATACGAAACCTATCGACATGCAGCTATCTGCTATCGCTCAACAGCAATTTCCGCCGCGCAACCCGACTTTACTCAAAGGTATTCTACCGCAGCGTGCAGACTAAAAAATTATTTAAACTTTTAAGGAAAGTCAACTCAAAAAAATAACAATAAACAACTCGATAAGTTTAAAAATAAATTTTATTATCATTTGAATATGTAATTTTTCTTTTAATCTTTAATTTATATAACTTTGGTTTTATAACAGATAAATTTTTTGATTAATCCAAACTATAATATTTTATCAATTAAATAACTAATTTAAAAAACAATTTATACATTGTCAATGTTAAGCGTCAATTTGTAATATAAAAACAATCAAACTATATCAAAGGTTCATAATATCGTACAAGTATTTAGCAATTATTTATTATTTATTTGTATTATGTAATTTAATTATTTCTGTCGATACAATTTAATAAAAGTATGTAATTGTATAAGATAATTATTAAGACAATTGATACGTAAGTAATAATTATAGATAAGACTTTTTATAGTTTCTTTCCTAAAAAAAAATTTAATATTAATTATAAGTATTAATAAATTGTTGAATAAACCGTATAACGAAACTTTTCGACTTTTTATTGTAATAATACAGTTAGTACGTTTAGAATTTATAAAGTTGAATTACAAATAATAATAATAATAATAATAATAATAATAATAATAATATTCAGATGTATTTGTTAATGATTCAAATAAAAAAAACGTGTTTTTGTTAAAAATATACACCCATGTTTATTTATGTAATTATATATTTATGATATCTATGTCAACAAGATTACGAGTAAAAAAAAGTTAAAAAAAAGCAAATCAAGTCATCTGTGTGGATTGACGGAAAATGTTTAAATAAAATACATATTAATTTTTTATGACAAAACATTTAACTTAATTTATGTATGTCAATCATTAATTCGAATGTAAATGATTTATTAAATAACATTTGAAGCTAGGTGATATGTTTTCATTAATATATTTATTATTATTATTATTATTACTATTATTATTATTATTATTATTATTATTATTATTATTATTATTATTATTATTATATAATAATATAAGCAAAAGTGACCGCTTAAAAATTAACCATTTAATTAAAATTGTTAATCAATAAGTGGCAAATGAAACGATAATTTTTATTTTATTCAGATTTATTATAAATAATAAAAACGTTTTTAGTATAAAAAATATATAAATAATTTTTAAAATTCAATTGAGTAATAAAAAATAAAAAACAAATTTATTTAATATGCCAGTACGATAACAATTAATATATATTTTTTTTTCTTACAACGAATATCTTCATTGGGAAGATAAACTTCTAACTTGAATTAAAATCATATGGAGATACTGATCCGCGACTATCTCATGTTTGTACAAATAAAAATAAGGAACAATAATAATAATGGAATATTGTGGAGTCTGAGTTAATAATCACATTGGAACATGCAAAACTTATTATCATTATCAATATCGTCAGCAAAACTTATAGGTAATTATTTTTAATTGACAAATATATATCAATAGAAGCATTGTCATTGCGGAAAAAATATATGAATACATATATAGATATATCAATTGATTAAAATTAGTTACATTATAATTATACTTTTCATTTTTTTGTTGCATTAGACACCTTCCAAGTAAAGCGTTTATCTTATGTCATGGTCATAACAAATCCAGCATAATTTATTCAATCATCGCTGATTCAATTATCAGAGACCGGACTTTAGTTTCTTTTAAAAAAAATAAAACATTTTTAATTAGTTAATTTTTTTTTTAAATAGTTATTAATATAGACTTGTAGACATATAATATATATTTATAATTTTAGTATTTAATATTAAGTCAACTAATATAAAATTTAAACTCTGACCGCCATCAATCGTCTCGACGGCTCGAAACCTTTCCACGTTCCGATATAAATTTTACAACGTGGACAAAAGTGATGCACTGTCATGAAATAATTTGTACAGTACGGTAGACACGAACATAAGCAACACCTGTAATAAAATAAAGTTTATTATTCAACATATTCCATTTGAAAAAAAAAAAAAAATTAAATAAATCTATATTATTAAGAGAATAAAAAAAATTTTGTGTCCAGGATAGTCATATGATAAAATCGGTTTTTTTAGTTACATTTAGTGTCATTGCAAAAGTCGTGATTTGAATTTGTGCCTTTTCAAGGTTTCATATCATTCTCACCGATAGTCAATTTATTATGATAAGTATTTAGGCTGCATTCGAAAATACTCTATCTCTAGATACATAATTAAAAAATGACCTTGTATCTTGTGAACTATTGACATTTTTAAAGATATAAGCTCATCCTGATGTTACACTCATCAAGACCTTTCATTTGAGTACCCACATCAATTTTTCATATATTTTATATATTTATATATTTTACAAATACCATATACATAAAATATATAAAAAATACCATGTGGGTACTCAAATGAAAGCTCTTGATGAGTGTAACATCGGGATGAGCTTATATCTTTAAAGTTGTCAATAATTAAGAACTGACATTGCTATATTGTCAAGCAATAATATTTTTAAAGATATAAGCTCATCCTGATGTTACACTCATCAAGACCTTTCATTTGAGTACCCACATTATTTTTTCATATATTTTATATATTTATATATTTTACAAATACCATATATATAAAATATATAAAAAATGCCATGTGGGTACTCAAATGAAAGCTCTTGATGAGTATAACATCGGGATAAGCTTATATCTTTAAAATTGTCAATAATTAAGAACTGACAATGCTATATTGTCAAGCAATGATATTTTTAAAGATATAAGCTCATCCCGACATTACACTCATCGAGACCTTTCATTTGAGTACCCACATCAATTTTTCATATATTTTATATATTTATATATATATGTTATATATAAAAAATATATGAAAATGCATGTGGGTACTCAAATGAAAGCTCTTGATGAGTGTAACATCGGGATGAGCTTATATCTGTAAAAACGTCAATATTTAAAAAAGCACAGTGCAATTTAATGAAAATCATTACTTAATAAAGCAAAATTTTATTTATTTATAGTTCACAAGTCACGTCAGTCACATAGTGGCTGCAAGGTAGCTAGTAAATATTAATTATAGAAATGTTACCCAAGAATACAAAGAATAAGACAACAGATGTGAGCCATTGGTTGATGGTCAGAAACTGTTGATGTTTTGATGTCGGTTAGACAAGAAGGACATTGCATTTTGACAGGACTTGAGGCCAATGTATAAGTCCCAGATGGACGAACCATTCGTACTTCTGAAGTTATTGGATACGATGGAGGTAAATTACGTTGTGATGTATAATCAAAAGGACCTGCTCCATCAATATTTGGTGGTGGAACATCTATTTTAAAAAAAAAATATTTAATAATAAATACATGGCTACTATTCCTAGAATAGTTTGCTTATATTTTATTTAACTAGAGTATAACTCAGTGAATCTAAATTTAAATTCATCTCCAACTTGATAATCATTGATTATTTTTATATTCATTGAATTATTCGATAAAAAAAAAAATTCAATGAATAAATCTTCGATAAAATAAAAGAACAATTAATCGTAAAATTATCATACAATATTTAATACAATAAATTTTAATTATTAATAAAGTAATTTTAGAGATAAAATAGTAATTTAATTAATAGAAGAAAAGATAAATATAATATTTGTTTGATATGATATTGAGAAGCATTGGAATGTATATTGCATCGAATTGCATTATCCGTTCCTGACGAATAGAAGAGTGAAGGCGAAAAGTTCAATATCAGTGCCCAGAGAGATAACTCTCGTATCATTGATGCGATACGTCACTCGTACGGTGACATGAGGAATTTAAATAAAAATAAAAAACGATAAAAGTCCCACCCGACCTACCGGCCATCCAAATAAATAAATAAATAACAGTGTCAAAAATTCACGAATAAAACAACTATCAAGTTCCCAACGGTCCTGTTTGTTATTTCCGTCCATGAGCATATATTTATTTAGTCCAGGCATTTTTAATTACATCTAGTCTTCCTCTGTTTCAAAAATTAATTTTAATTGTTCTAAAAGGAGAAAAAAAAAATAAGTGCTGAGGTAATGATTAATGAAGATTAGTAATTAAAATAATGAAGGATTAAGGATTTACTTACCGTGGAATCTGAGGATAAGGACAAATTTGTCAGGATAAAAATTAATTATCTCTTCTCTCTTCCATTTAATTTTTTTTTAATATTCACAAAAATAAATGGTAATTATTTACAAGTGGGGTCCACCCTATTTTTGGCCATATTTAGGTTAAAAATTAACATTTTTTAATATTTTTTTTTATTCTGCTTGTTTTTACTGCGCATTTATGATAAAAAATGTCGTGAAAGAAGATTTCGATAGCTTTTTTACCTTCAAAAGTTGGAAAAAATTTTGGCTCTCATGTTTTTGGATAAAATTTCCATTTGATCTTTTTTTGATGTTTTTGATATATTTTTTTTTGAAAAGCACATAAAAAAACGAACAATTAAAAAAAAAAGTTGAATATCACAATTTTCTAAAAAAATTTTTTTTTTTTTAATTTTTCATTTTTTTATGTATTAAAAAAATATATATATCAAAAAATCAAATAAAAATTTCATTCAAAAAAATGAAAATTAAAATATTAGACCTTACTTGTAAATAATTACCAAATAAATAAATAAAACAAAATAATTTAGTCAATTATTAATAAAATTAATGATGGGAAAAAATGGTTAAATAAAAATTAATAGCGAGCAAAGGATTGTAAAATAAAAAATAGGTGAAATAAAATAATTTAAAAAGCTGAAGAGTGAATTTATCATGTGAAAAAATGTTGATTAGCATAAAGCCGTATAATAATCGCATTAATATAAGCATTAGTAGTACATAGCAGTGCAGTGAGTATTAATTCATAACCATGAGATATCAAAAATAGAATATAATGGGAGTTTGTGTATATATTTATAGACATACACTACAAATCTCTGCAGATGACACTGATATGAGTGCTTTTAAATGATGATACTCGAATTTAATAATTCATTTGTCAATGAAATTGGGTCAAAATAATGAAACAATTAACCGTTGGCCATGGTTAATAATTATCTTATAATTATTTAATGTTTTTAATTAAAAATATTAATTTAATAATTGAATAATAACTTACAGGGAGCGTTCAAAGGTACTCGGGAATCTCCAGGATACGGTAAGACATTTATTGGCGCAATTGAAGGATTAGGCATAGGCATTGGCATGGTCATTGATTGGGCCATTGCTTCTTCATATGAAGGTGGAAGAGCTGGGGGTGGCGCCGAGGGTGCCATTGCTCCTGAAGTTGCTGGAACTCCTGGAGAAGGTGCTGGCATTGACGACATACTCGGTTGATTTTTTTCCATATCTACACAGAAAAAATAATGTTGTTGAATCAAGTATATAATTTTGAAGAACTTAACTCTTCTTGATTTGAGTAGAAAAATTCTTGAACTAATAAATTTTTCTTGATTTAAGGAAATTTTACTTGATTAAAGAATTTTTCGTCTTCATTCAAGACAATTACTTATTTATTTATTTATAAAAAAACGCCCTCGGCAATTTACAACAATATGTTACATTTTTATGTGTAGAATGTTTAGTAATGTTTATATACAATAAATAGTGTCTGTAAAGAGAAGATAGACTTAAAAAATTTAAGAAATTTTTTTTTTAAATTTGAAAGAAGAGAAAAACAAAACGAAAAAAAAAAAAACTTTTAGTAATTGATAATTGATAATCACTAATTTATAGTTTATAATCACTATTTGTACACCTGGAATGTTTTTATTTTAGAATCACCCTTTTTGCTTCACTTTTTATTTGTACCCTTTTCAAAATTATTATCGTAGTTCAAGAATTTTTCTCTCGAATCAAGTTAATTTTTCTTTTTAGTGTATAGAGTAATTGTAAAAATATTATTAATTTTTAAGGAAAAAAAAATGAAGAATAAGAAGAAGCAAAAAAGGTCATTGTTTTGTATCAGAGAATACATTGACCCAAAATTAATAGTGATAAACAAACTAATAAAAATAGTAATAAATCACAACGATAATTGTGATTGCCTTGAATTTTAAATAATAATTTAACTCTGGTTGGTAAATTATACTTTTTAAAAAGACATTCAACTATTGACAATGAACATTATATTTATATTATTCCCGTCTGACATCTCATTTAAGGCTCGGCATTATTAAGCAATTGGAAAATGACAACCTACATGTACGACAAGTGTTATCACTTATCTTATGTTCATGCATTGTGAATTTAAACCGTAAAATAAATTTTATATTCACGCTGATATCCTCTCGATCTCTGTGCATAAATGCTTACAAATATATATTATTTATAATTGTAGAGTTACGATTAGCTGTTGAATGTCAATTACAGATCGTAGGTCATGTTATTATATTTTTTTTTTTTTTTTAGACTCTAGTCTAAATAATTATTCTTTAATTTAATTACAGCTGTATGTATGTGTTTGTGTGTGTGTGTGTGTTAATATGGAAATTTATAAAAATTTAGTACTCATTTAGTTATGCTGTAAGTTAATAACGCGTGACGGTGAGCAAACAAAGGTAAAAAGTCATGAGTAAAGAAAACATGGAAGTTAATATCTTGAATAATAAATTTAATACGGAAATAAATAATACTTATTAAATTATAAATAAATTCTGCAGAAACGGCTTTAGTGCTGAGTTTTATAATTTATTCCGTACCGGCAATACACTTTTATTTTCAATAGTTTACATTAACACATAAAAAAAAGTTGCGTCATGTCCTTGCACGCAAGTAGAAAGCCACCAGCGCGATTATTATGTAATTGTTTAATTAAATTTGCTGTTAAATTTTTTTTACGCATCTAAGTAATGTAATAATTTGGATTTTTTAATAATAATATATTTAGAAATTATTAACTAATAATAAATAGATAATAGTGAATTGAAAATTATATGTTTTTGTAAACGTCCGCCGATGAATCATTCTCTATTTCAAAATTCAAAATATATAATTTAATATTGATAAGTATTATTATAGTTGAGTCTTTGATTTTACAAAATTAATAAGAAATAATTATTTTAATTATTAGATTAACATAACTATTACACTTCTTGAATATTGATAAAAAATTTATCAGTAAACAGTCTCATAACACGTATTGAAATGAGCCCAAAAAATAACTTTCTCTTAGAATTAAAACCTATAATTAACACTTATACTTTTTTATTTTAAACTCTAGAAAGTTGTGAAAATAATTACAAAATTTTGTTGTTTGTTGTTAGGAAATTGTTTTTTAAATTAATTTTACTTTTAACTGACAATAAAATAAATTTTTTTTTAACAATATCAATATTAATTTTTTGACATTAAATTTAGCTGTCACTACAATTTTTTAATTTTCTTTAACAAATTTATTTCAAAAAATTATTTAAAGAAAAATTGAATTTTTAATTAATTAAAATTCCTATATGTCAATTTTTTTTTGTCATGATTTATTTGTTAAAAAAATTCTCGAATACCTGCTAAATTAATTTTTTTGATTAGATTTATGTAATTGTTATTTTTTTTGATATTTAAAAATTTGAAAATTTTTTGAATTTACTTTAACATAAAATTAAAAAAAACTATCTCTAAAATCTTATAAAAAATTAAAAAAACTGTTAAAATACTGTCTATTTTTTAGATGAAAATAAAGTTAGCCGACATTTCAAAATTTTTACAAATTTTTTATTGAAAAAATTTCAATTAAACAATTAAAAAAAAAAATTCCACTGTCTATTTTTAGATGAAAATAAAGTTAGCCGACATTTCAAAATTTTTACAAATTTTTTATTGAAAAAATTTCAATTAAACAATTAAAAAAAAAAATTCCACATGTAAAAAACTTGAAAAACTATAAGTGCAATTTTTTATAATTATCTTTTTGGTTGTAATTTAATCAATAAAAAAAATCAAAAATTTTTTATATGTCTGCTAACTTCAGTGTCATTATTTTTAGCTATTACAAATAAATATATATTTATATATATGAAATCAACCATCTTTTTCATCTTAGTCTCCTTCTATTGATTAGTTACTACCAATACCTTCAAAATAATACAATCTACCTTTTAAAAAGTTTTGTAACTAAAACTCTTACTTTAAATACATTACTAAATAAAAAATAACAATTATAATGAGTATTACCTTTAAATTTTGATAAATAAATTGCAAATTGTCAAAAACAACTGTCAGCAAAAAAAAGTTATACTCTTATACAAAAACAAATCTCACGGATATTAAATGACACTTGGTGAGAAAATAAATAAAATAACAAAGTAAACAGTTAAATAATAAATACGGAAGTTTAATTAAGTAGTTGCATCACGAGTAAAGGTAAACCGACGACGGTATTAAAAAAAGTAAATAAAGAAACGGGTGAAAGCGCGGCCGCGACGATGAGACACGTCCAATAAGGTCAACAATCACTTAAATATTTACGCCAAAAAAAATTTAACCTTCATGACACCATTACTTTCGAATTAAGACCAAAAAAATCTAAACGTTAATTACAAATGAGCTCTTTATAATCCACCTGTCAAATTAACATTTTGGCGGGAAAATTGCGCCATTTTGTTTCTCCAATTTTTTTCTCATTGATAATTAACCGAGACAATTTTAACCACAAAAAAATAACTTATTATTATTTTCTCAGATCGAGAATTTATTTGTATACAGACGTCTTGACACAATCGATCCACGTGCACTACTGAGCAAGACCACCGAACACCGTTGCGGAGCGTACATGTCATGTTATTTACATACACCAAAAACGCGGGAACGCGACAAGCCTATATTTTTTTCCTACTTCACTTGACACACAATATTCTCACATTTTTTTCACTCTCACTTGTTTCTTTTTCCAAAATAATTATCGCGGACTTAATTAATATTGTTAATCGGAGTAATTATTGATTATTTAAAGATATTCTGTACTTGTTTGAACATGACAGTCAAAATAGGAGAGGGGAGAGGCCGAGATTCCAACCAGTCTGCAGTAAAGACGCGAGCTGACTAACTAGAAGCTTCGCGCGGCTGCGCAGAACTACCAAACTGCCCTCTCTTGTGACGCAGTTTATTTAAAACTAAACCGGGTAATTCAAAATTTCTTGACAAATTCTCTACTGTGCCGACATTTTGAAAACATTTTATCAACTGCAAGTATTTTTACGTTTTTTACACGATGGAATCTTCCAGTAGATGTCCATAATGACACTCCAGGACCTGTAGAGAAGCTGATCTCGATCATCTGGATTGTAATTATTCCAAGTCAAGTGAAAAACATCTAATTATTACGAAGTGAATGTTTTTGTTTTTTTTTTTTTTTTTTTATTACTATAAACAATAAACAAGTATAATTATTTATCCAGGTAAGACAATAATTAATTATTTTTTTAATTTTTCGATATTTCACTTGGTATTTTTGATTTTTTTAAGCCATTAAAGTTAGAAGTCTTGATTTTTTAATTTTTTTTTAACAAACAAGTTTGTTTTTAAAAATTATTTGAAAAAAAATTGCATTTTTAATTTTTTAAATATTCTATGTCAATTTTTTTTCTAATTTTTTTTTCCATAATTTATTTGTTAAAAAAATTATTAAATATTTTCTTAATTTTTTATTTAAATTTATACAAAAAAAAAAAAATTATCTAAAAAAATTTAAATATTAATAAAATAATTTTTTTAGGATTAAAAAACTAAAAAAATAACAATGATGCATTACGGATCATGGATAACCCCCCAACAAATGATGGAGAACCGTTACTATTCCTCAGGATTCATCGAAGATCCGTACCGCCTTCAAAATGATCCTCGTGACGAAGAGTGCGAGCAAACAATCGACGAAACCCACGACACAATAACAACAGCGACCTCGGACGAGCGTAGCTCCAGCGCGGATATTTTCCGACTAGAATTCGCGGCAACTCAGCGTCTCAAGTTAGTATCAAATGCCGAAGGACTCTTCAACCGGCTGGTAGCCAGCAACATCCTCCCACACAACGAGCAGGACCAGATAGAGCAGTGGCTGTGTATGAAGCAAGAGTACGAGGAGTGTATCACTAGCGACGAGACTGCGAGCCTCCAGGGGTATGAAACTACTCGGCGTTCTCTTGAAAGAATCGAGGAGGTTACAGAAACTGATGAAAAGACTGATGAATCCAATCCTGTTCGTATTTCTTCAGACACTTCAATGTCCGACGTAGACGTTGAAGATGATGAGAGTGATATTAATTCCGACAATCCCGATTTTTTGGAAAAACTTGACGAGTGTATGAACAAATTAAAACGCGAGACAGATTTTATTATTGACAATATTGACGACGATAATTTTATTCCTATAATTACTGAACACCTGACAAATAATAGTATTAATAACAATAATAACAATTATTATTACAATAATATAAATAATAATAATGAACATGATGATTGTAAAATAGTTAAGCCAATACCGATAAGAAATAAATCTCTGAGAAGAAATTCAATGTTACCTGGTTCGGAAATGTGCAGTGATGTTGCTGCGTTTGCTTCTGGCTTTAAATTACCCGAGTGTTATCAAGAGCAAATTAATGATGAGTGCATTAACGACAACTCGCCTGACCTATTGGTCGACGCTTTGAAGAGCAACGATGTGCTTGAGCCGATAAAAACTTTGAAGACTCTGACTATGAACAACAAAGTTAAACAGACTCAAGTTAAAATCATAAAAGAAGAACTTGATGACGCTCACAAGCGGATTGATGAATTACAGAAGACTATAAAAATGAAAGAAGAAATATTTATCGGTGATATGGTCAAAAATTCCGAGTCTCGGAAACAAAAGCTGCATAAAAAAAGGTTCAAAGTTAAGAAAGAACTCAGTACTCGCGGTTGGGCGACTGACAAGTCTATTTGTTCTTTGAGGAATGAAAAGTGTCAGCGGGATGTTGAGCTGTACAAAAATATTGCGATTCACTATGAGCAGAGGCTGGTGGACATTGAAAAAATCAAACAGATTGCCGGAGACTCGGCTAAGAAGATTCTTGAGCTGGAAATGTCGCTCAATGCTTCGAAAGTTCAGATGGAAAAGCTGCAGTGGCAGCTTAAAAAGGAGGAAGAAAGGAAGAGTCAACTGGAGGATGAAGCCGCGGAGGATCAGAAGAAAATTAAGGAGCTGGTTGAAAAGTGTAATTTGACTGAGTCGAAGCTTCAGGAGATGAAGAGCGAGTCTGAAGATGAGCGAGCTAGTTCTAGGATGAAGGATGCGGATCAAAAGGTTTCGATGAGCTCTAGGATGTCTCTGGATTTTTTGAAGATCAAATCTTTGAACGAGAGGGCTGAGAATTTTAAGGAAGCTAGTGATAGGAATGAAATTAAGATTCTGAGGGATGAAATTAAAGAGCTGAGGTTCAATAAAGAGAACTTGGTGACTCAGACTGTGGACTTGGTCAAAAAAATTAAATTGCAGGAGAGGAAACCTACTGAGGATGAAGAGAGGAAAAAACTGGAGTGGAATGAGTCTATTGAGATGATTGACACGTTGATTGAGAAGAAAAATTCTAGAATTTCTAGGCTTTCTAAATTGGGAGGCATTAGTAAAAATAGTTCGAGCAATGTGGAAGAGTCTAGTGTTAGCAACAAGGAGATGATCAATGAGCTTCTGTCTAATTTGAGGGATAATGAGCTCAAAGACTTGTTCCATGTTTATTATAATAAAGTTATCGAGCTGAAGAAAAGTACTGGGGTCCTGGATGAGCAGAATGTTGGTTGGGAGGCAGAATGCCAGAGTTTGAAGAAAGCGAATCATGATCTTATGGTCAAGTTCCAACAAAAGTATTCGCACTATCCAAGTTCTTATGCGATGACTGGAAGAGGAAGCAATGATAAGCAACTTCAAATGGTCGTCAGGAACTTTAATCATCAGGGAGCTGATCATAAGGAAATGGAGGTGGAGGAACTTAGGAGGGAAAATAAAAGTCTTCATAAGAAAATCAAGGAAATGCTGAGTATTTCCAAGTGGGCGAATCAAGGCTCTAGCAGATATCCCAGACATGATTTTAATGATATTAAACCTTCGTCTCAGGATAAGTTGATGACTAAAGTTACTAGAGAAAGAAACAAAATTATTATTCAGAAAACTGATTGTGTTAACAAGAAAAAGTAAATTTTTAGTTTTTTTTAAAGATTGTAATTTTATTTAATGTTTTAGCAGTGCCAAAATAATTAGAAATTTCTTAATGTTTTGACAATAATATAAACTTACAATTATATTCATCAAAAAATTTTACTGAAATTAAAAGACATCTATCGATTTTTATAAATTATTGAGCAAATTTTAAGAAAAAAATTCTACGTTAAAAAATTAAAAAAAAATAGCAACCTTGCTGTCACTAAGACTGCCGTGATTTGTGAACTATAAATAAATAAAATTTTGCTTTATCAAGTAATGACTTTTGTTAAATTGCACTGTACTTTCTTAACTATTGACATTTTTGATTATATAAGCTTATCCCGATGTTACACTCATCAAGAGCTTTCATTTGAGTACCCACATGCATTTTCATATATTTTTCATATATACATATATATATATAAATATATGGAAAATTGATGTGGGTACTCAAATTAAAAGTCTCAATGAGTGTAATGTCAGGGTGAGCTTATATCTTTAAAAATATCATTAGTTGACAAGATAGCAATGTTGACAAGTCCAAATTTAGAAAAAATTTTTAATAAAATTAAAAAAACAATTTACAGATGTCTGCTAATTTCAGTTTTAGCAATCAAACAATTAAAAAAAAATTATATAACTAATAATTAAAACTTAGAGACAAAGATAAAACTCTTTGGCATTTATTAATTTTGTTATTTATTGTAATTATTTTTGACAAATGTAAATAAATTTTTTTTCTTACATTTCAGTAAATTATAAAATATTTATTACAAAATTAAAGTAAATAATAATCAGTAAGAAATTACCAAGTATTTATACCAAAAGATAATCATTCTCGATAAATAATCTTAATTTAAACTTAAATGAAAATATGAAGATTAATATTGACGGAGACCACCACGTCTAGCTGCTGGCTGCATCATACGGTTCGGAGGAGTTATCGAGATGTCTAGGTAGTCGCCGATGGTAAATCTTACTTGAGCAAGTGTTTTATTATCGTCAGCTCCTTTCTGTCCTGAGCAGGTGACACCGATTTCGCGCATTCGGTAACCAGAGTTACGCGCCTCGGGAGTTACCAGTGAGAATTCAAAGTAAGTTCCTTTGCTTCGCGCGTCTGGATTAACTTCTTTGACTAGACCGGTGATTTCTCTTAGTGTTGCGTCCATCCATGTGTAAATTTGTAGCTCATTTGATGGGACGTTTCCTCGACTGTAGTCCATTATGTTGTGGTGACGACCAGTGTTGCAAAATACTCGTAGTAATAGTGGACATGTCTGTTAAAAATTTTTTATTGTTAGTCACAATTTATTTCATGAAAATTAATTTATCAGATACTTATTTATTAAATTTTAATAATTTTTTTAATAAATAAATTAAGGTAGTAAAAATGAAAAAAAAAATTAACATGTAAAAATTTTAAAAAATTAAAAATGCAATTTTTTTTAAATTATTTTCCGGAAGAAATTTGTTTGTTGAGATAAATTAAGAAATTATCAAGTGACTGCTAACTTTAATGTCGTTTTATTTTTTTTATAATGACAATATTAATTGTTAATTAAATGAAAATTTATTTAACAGATATTTAATAATTAAAAAAAAATTTTTAATGAATTATAAAAAATATTAACATGTAAAAATTTTAAGAAATTAAAAATGCAATTTTTTAAAAATTCTATTTTGGAACAAATTTTTTGTTAAAAAAAAATAATAAGTGGTCAAGTGGCTGCTAACTTTGATGACATATTAATTAATAATAATAAATACTCCGTAGTAAACTATGTTAAATGCGACTAAAAATAAATTAATTTACAGATTGTTGATGAAAGATAATTTTATTTTTGAAATTATAACTATGACACTAAAGTTAGCATTCACTTGATTATTTTAAAAATTTTTTCTAACAAACAAATTTTTTTTAATTTCTTAATATCAATTTATTTTGCTATAATTCATTTATAAAAAAAATTATTCAAATTATTACAAACATATATAATTAATAAAAAAAATATAAGTTAGCGGTATAATGGTAAAATAGAGGTTAGAATTTAAATTTAAAAAATTAAATGCGCGTAAAAAATATAAATTATTACAAATAAATAAAATTAAATATTTATTAATATAAATATTATTACCTTTTCTCTATCGACTGGTTTTTCTGGTAATTGTTTATCATCAACAACCATAGATTCAACCATTGACGCCATTTTTGTATTTAATAATTATTTTTTTTTTCCAAGGGGGAAATTTATACAACAAACATGTCCACATGGGTGCTGTGAGTATGACAGTTCCCGAGATGGCGCCACTGTGCAAGAAAAAAATTAATTGTTGCATACTCACTCCGCTAGGTGGTGCTTTTATTCATGACACTGCAATTATCAGACGTTTGGCAATTTTTAATTTTTTTATATGATTTAAATAATAAATCAAAAGAATATTTTATTTTACAAAATTGCACTTGTAGTTTTTTCTTACACGTACATTATTTTTTAATTTTTATATAATGATTCTTTCAATAGACAAATTAATAAAATAAAATTGTCATGCAGAAAATTTATAAAATTTTAAGTGCAATTTAAAAAAAATTTTTTTTTTTATTCGTAATTTTAATTTAAGAAATCAAAATGTCTGCTAATTTTAGAATCATTTAAAAATTTTGATATTTTTTATTTTTTTAATATTGTAAAAATGTCAAAATTATTTAAAGTTCAACAAAAGTTTAACGAAACGTTTATGTATTTAAATTCTACCAACAAATTTCTTCAGTTAAGAAAAACCGGATTATTCAAAGTGAAAAATTAATGTATTAATTTAAAAACTGAAACTAATTATGTAAGAAGACATGAAGAAGACTCCAACAACCATGAATACCACCAAAGAGTTTGAAGGTAAGTTTAAAAGCTTCTAATGACACAATATTTTGATAAAGTCTGTGTTGACAAAAGCTTATTCATGCTTACAAGATTAAAAAGTCTAAACTTTTATTCCAACAATAATCTTCCAGCTTATATTGATAGTGTGCTTTATCCTTTTTTTACAAGTTTAAATATTAAAAAAATATTGAGAATGCTTCCGCAACGTTAACTTAATAGTTTACGGTAATTAATCTGGCTTAGCTGATATCAGTTATATACTAGGAATTATGTGTTACTTCCGCCATGACAACAAACACTCATACTTTAATAATAATATACGTCATTTAGGAAGATGAATACCTTCACATATTTATCGCATTGACATTGATCACAAATTTTATCAATAACATTCAAATTAATGTAAACAAACTGATTATAATTCGCAGATTATTTATATGCGCGTCTTTGAAATTTACAACGAAAACTATGTCTAGTTATTTAGCAATAAATCAAAATTCTATTTTTATCCGCAATTTACTTTGCAAATTCAATGAACACTTCTATCTAATTTCTAAGAATTTATTTATAGCTGATATTAAATTGCATTTTATAGATCATTATTATATTTATAATTACCTTGATGTACAAAAGATTAATTGTTGTTTTGTTTTATGAAGAATTGATAAGACAATGCAACTTTATAAAACCGCGATCGTCTAACAACAAATTCAGTTGATAATAATTCTTACAGTGGTGAATATTTAGACATAATTAATTAACAAATTTGTGCTTTATTTTTTTTTTATAATTAAAATTATAATGCAAAGTAAGTAGTTGCTTTTATACTTTAATAACATATCAACAGTCAATAATTTTAATAATTTATGCTTGATTATGATCATAAATTTTTTAATAGATCATTTTACGTTAACTACTATCATCCTGACAATAAAACTGGTGAGCGCATTCGCTGCCGACAATGAAATCCCAACAGAATGTCCGCAAGTGGACCCGATTAATACAACCATTCACATTGCTCACGAGCTTGACTGCTCAAAATTTTATGCCTGCTCGAACGGTCGTAAAATCTTGATGATGTGTCCTTTGATGGATGGAGCTGGCAACAGACTACATTTCAACCCCAAGTTACAAGTTTGTGACTGGCCATATCGAGCTGGATGCAATGTATCTACTAGTACGACTGCAGTCCCTACGGAAGCGGCAAGTGTAGGCACAGATAATTCAACTGAGTGGGCGGTAACCACTGAGTCGACGGAAGCTAATAACTCTTCAAAAATAACAGAAGCTACGACGGAAGTTATTACAGAATCATCAACTAGTGAGGAATCAACGGTAACCGTGTCTCCAGGATCAAATTCTACTGTTACACAAGCTACGACGACATCTGCATCATCAACGGTTCAAGAAACTGAGAGTACTAGACCTTCTGAAGCAACGTCTGTTACAACTCAGGAACCTTCAATGCCTAGTTCTACTGAAACAGAAGCTCAGCCATCAATAACAACCCAATCAACGGTTCAAGAAACTGATAGTACTTCTATACCTTCAGAATCAACGTCTGTTACAACTCAGGAGCCTTCAGTGCCTAGTTCTACCGAAACAGAAGCTCAGCCATCAATAACAACCCAATCAACGGTTCAAGAAACTGAAACAACTTCTAGACCTTCTGAAGCAACATCTGTTACAACTCAGGAACCTTCAGTGCCTAGTTCTACTGAAACAGAAGCTCAGCCATCAATAACAACCCAATCAACGGTTCAAGAAACTGATAGTACTACTATACCTTCAGAATCAACGTCTGTTACAACTCAGGAACCTTCAGTGCCTAGTTCTACCGAAACAGAAGCTCAGCCATCAATAACAACCCAATCAACGGTCCAAGAAACTGAAACAACTTCTAGACCTTCTGAAGCAACATCTGTTACAACTCAGGAGCCTTCAGTGCCTAGTTCTACTGAAACAGAAGCTCAGCCATCAGTAACAACTCAATCAACGGTCCAAGAAACTGAAACAACTGCTAGACCTTCTGAAGCAACATCTGTTACAACACAGCAGCCTTCAGTGCCTAGTTCTACCGAAACAGAAGCTCAGCCATCAATAACAACTCCATCGACGGTTCAAGAAACTGATCCAACTTCTGTAACTACTAATAGACCGACAGAATCAACAACTTTTTTAACATCATCAACATCTCAAACCATCACCACCAATCAAACGGAAACAACAAACACCACCATCACTCAAATCATCAGCACCACCATTCCCACCATAATCACCACCGATGACTTTGAATCCAATGAAACAATCTCCACACTACCTACTCCACTTCCTGAATGCACATCAAGTGTATCTGGAATTTTATATCCACATGAATCTGACTGCTCTTTATTCTACAACTGTGACCACGGTAAATTAGTTCTATTAAGTTGTGCCCAAGGACTCTATTTCGATGGACTTCGTCAAGTCTGTGTGTGGCCTCACGAAACCAATTGTCAAAAATCAACAGAACTTAATCCTTCTACGACAATTTCTTCCATTTCTACAACGATACCAATAGCAACTAACATCTCAGACTTATGTCCCACTGACAATTCAAAAAATGGAGTATTGTATCCCCACGAATGTGTATGCAGTAAATTTTATCTCTGTACTAACGGACAACTTGTTTTGAATCAGTGTCCTGCTGGTTTGAATTTTGATTCAAAATTGAAGATTTGTGATTGGCCAGAAAACGTTCAATGTCAGTCATCTTCACCTTCAGTGTCTTCAACAACTGCTAAATTGTCAACGACAACATTGAGTAGCTTAGTAGAAACCATAAAGCCCGTAGAGCCGAATTCAACCGAGTCTGGTAATTTGATCGACCAACCAGCGGTATCAAAATCTGAATGCCCAGAAGATGGATCTGAACCGCTGCTTCCTCATGAAACTAATTGTCGGCTTTACTACGACTGTAAAGACGGTGAAAAATGGTTGAAGGAATGTTCATCTGGATTAGAATTCAATCCTACGCTTCAATTTTGCGATCGGCCTGAACTCGCTGGATGCTCCAACTCGGAAAGCAATCAGGAAACTACTGTACGAAAAATTGAAACTTCTGAAGCAGTAAGTGAGACTTCTGAGCAAGTTGATGAATCATCTACTTCCAAAAATGAAACTTCTGTATCAGATACATGTTTAAGACCCTGTCCCGCGAATGATCCCATAGATTATACAGTTTTGGTTGAACATCAAAACTGTTCCAAGTTCTGCAAATGTAGCCATGGGATTCCCTACGTATTAAACTGTCCAGCAGGCCTCCAATTCAATTCATTGGAACAAACTTGTGATTATCCCGAGAGAGCTAATTGTAACAGACAACCAGCTTATTAATTCTGTTCCAGTTAAAAAGTATTTACAAATCTGATCTCTTAGATTACATATAAGCTAGCGCTGCTATTGTAATTTATTGACTTGATTATTTATTTATCTAAATATATATGATTGATGCATAAGTCTTTTGTACTTTTTTTACCTCATAACCTTGATCTAAAAATGAACAATTTATCTGAACGTAAAATATATTTTAAGCAAATACAAGATTATTTTAAAACAAAGCAAGTTATTTCCATTAATAAATAAGTAATTGCGTAGTATTTAATGTAAATAAATATTGCGTAGTTATTTAATACTTGAAATCGACTCTAATCTTGAATTAAAAATCATGTTATTAAATTTGGATCTTTAAAATACATTATAGTGATAAGATTTCTCCTTCACTATTCATATATTTCGTGATAGCCGACTGTCTATTTAGTCAGTTAGATTTTTGGCCATCACATTGTCGATAAATATTTCTTTCTAAGAAAGAATGTTAAGCTAATTTTTTCAATCAAATGTTGCGTTTTTGGGGTGAGAATTTTTTTATTTTATCATAATTATAATTTATAAGTAATTAAATAATTTTTTGTAGTAATCAGCATAATTCTTGGAAGTTCCGCATTGGAAAAATTTAACAGAGTTGATAGCGGTTGTATCGGAACTTGTCCAGGTGAAGACTTCCCTAATGCTGCGATACTTTTGGCGCATAGTAATTGCTCCAATTACTGTCACTGCAACCGAAAAAAGGCTGTCGTCAAAAATTGCGATCCAAGTTTGAGATTCAATTCCCGTGATGGGATTTGTGACCGTCCGGAAAAGGTTGAATGTGATGTCAGAGGAACAGGCGACTTTGATCTTGATAATTCATCCGGAAGTGAATCGGAAGAAAATTATTTTGTAATTATTTATTGCCTGATTTCTATTATTTGGCTGATTGGAATTATTTTTATCATTATTTTTGCTTGTAAAAACACTAAAAAATTTCGTTTTAAATTTTGGCGATCTAATTAACAATTAGTATTGTTATTATCTATCAGGAAATAATTATTACTTAAATTTAAATAATAAAAAGATAAATCGATAAGATGCGTTTTATCAGTAGGTGATTTATCATTTTAGGTTGATAATATTTGAAATATAAAATAAAAACTAATTCCTTTTTGTCGAAAAAAAATAATAGCGATAAAATTTTGTTTTTTTTTTTTTTTTTCAATATTTATTATGTTAATTTACATAAAAAAAATTTATAAATAAATATTTTATCACCTCTAAAAAAATTTACTGACTAATGTTTTTAACAAAAATATTTTAAACCTTATAATTAGTTAAGTCAATCATTGCAAATTTATAATTTAGATAAAAATTTTTTATTTTGATTCATCGATAAAACTTTTATCACATTATTTTAAGAATTCACAAACTTTTTCAATTTACAAAATCTTAAATAATTATTTAATTTAATAAAAAAAAATGAGCTAAATTACAAAAAGCTTTTAGTAAATTTTCATTTAATTTTAAAATTAATATTATTGCTTGACTTGTACACCTCTCGGTTTTTACAAGGCTGATTCTTCTTTTTTTCCTAGCTCTACGCTTTTTCTCTCTCTCATATTGGACCTCAGCACGTCTCACCCGACACTTCATTTTTAATTTTTGCGGCTGTGGACCGATTTGTGCTTTCTGTACCGCATTTACCCTGAACCTCACCTCCTAGGCTGTTGGAACAGAATCATAGGAAAACCACAAAGAAGACCCATGATAGTAGAGTCGAAGCTGGGCTAAGTCTACAGTGATTGATAAGAAACTCTTCTTTATCGACCACTGGAGCATTAGGCCCCTCTCCTAGTGAGCAGAGATCTGGAGTTTTTTAATTAATTAAATTTAAAAATTCACTTCGATGAAGATCAAAAGTCAAGCGATTGTCACTTGATCAAACTAAATACTAATCTTAAATATTAAGTCATCAAAAATGAATGATAAAATATAAAAGATTAAAATAACTCTACGGACATTCACTCTAATAGGCCTCTATATTAATTTAGGATAAATTCAGCACAAGATAAAGATAATAAATCGCACGTATTAATACACCTTGAGCGATTAAAATGATTTGTCGTGTTACCCCCTATCAGTTACTTTTTATCAATAATCACTAATCAATCCTCGTATATAAAAAGAATTACATCTTTATTTTATCCTCACATTAAATAGTTCTCTGATTGTTTCAATTAAAATGTTCAAGCTTTGGGGTAAGTACTTTAGTTCAATTTACATTAAATTAAACATAAATCCAATAATTTATATTTTAGCGCTACTCGCGATCGTCGTTCTAAACGACATTGCGTCGGCCTCAACAGTCGAAAATTTCCAACTAAACCCACCGTTTGAACTATCGAAGAATATCGAGCGAATAGCGTACGATTGCTACGGCGAATGTCCAAACGATCGACTGAACAAAATTTTCCTTCTCGCTAATCGGGACAAAACAAAATATTGCAATTGCAAGTATGGACTTCCATATTTACAAGAGTGTCGTTCAAATTTGGTGTTTAGTCTCGAAGAAGGTGAATGCTTAGATCCGATGCTTAGTAAATCAACAAATACCACCAGCTTAACCAATTTCGTGCAATCACTTTGGGAAAGAACATCAGCGGTGTTTGGTTCTAGAAGCAATTCATCCCAAGAGAGAGAAAACGACGTGAGATGTATTGGAGAATGTTCAGATGACATTGAGAACGTAGCAACCCTCTTACCTCACGAGGACTGTACCAAATTCTGTCTATGCAAACACGGTAATACAAATGTCAAAACTTGTTTGGATAATTTTGAGTTTGATGCTGAAGAAGGATCTTGTGTACCGCATGGAAAATCACAGTGTAAAAATTCAAAAATCGAATCTAAACCATCTTATGATTGCGTGCGAAAATGCCCTTCATATGGAAATTTTACAGGTACAATAATAATAGCTCACGATGATTGTTTGAAATACTGTGTATGCAAAAAAAATGGTGCTACGGTTGTCAAGGATTGCCCTTTTAATTACCATTTCAGTCCCGAGCAAGTAGCGTGTCTAAAACCAGAAGAGGCAAAATGTGATCGCTTAAACGGAACAGTTACCGCTCTTGAGGGATGTATTGGCACTTGTTCAAGTACAGAAGACCCTAACAAAGCTTGCTTCCTTGCCCACGAAGACTGTGACAAGTATTGTATCTGCAGAAATCTTAACATCACTGTGAGAGATTGCCCTCCTGGCTTGCACTTTCACCTAGAATCTCAAAAATGTACAACGAAAGAAGTAGCTGGATGTGAAGCGGCACCCGAACCTCCTGAAGGATGTGTTATTGAATGTCCTACAGTGTTAGTCGACAATGTAACTTGTTCAACAGCTCACGTTGACTGCGATAAATACTGCTTGTGTGTTAATGGTCGTCCTATTGAAAAACAGTGCCCAGAAGGTCTTCACTTTAGTGTGGATGAGGGGATTTGCGTTGATCCTATAACTGCTGGGTGTAATACAACAACTACAACATCAACAACAACAACAACAACTACGACAACTACGACAACTACGACTACGACTACTACAACAACAACACCACCACCACCACCGCCAATACCTGAAGGTTGTTTGTCCACAGAATGTGACCTTGATCCTAACAAAGCATGTCTTATCAAGCATTCAAATTGCTCAATGTATTGCAGATGTTATCAAGGAGAAATAACAATAATTTCTTGTGCAGAAGGATTACATTTCAGTTTAGATTATCTTGAATGTGTTGAACCTGAAATTGCTGGTTGTGAGAATATAACAACAACAACAACAACAACAACAACAACAACAACAACTACAACGACAGAAGAGCCAAGAGGTCCCTGTGATTATACATGCGGTCCAAATGGAAATTGCAAATGGCCAACTGATGATTGCACACAATATTGTCAGTGCAATGATGGTGAGATAACTCTTGAAGATTGCCCAGACGGTTTAAATTTCAGTCCTACAGTTGGTATGTGTGTAAGTCCAGATATTGCTGGATGTGAGAATTCAACAATAACCACCACCACAACGACGACAACGACGACACCAGCACCACCGGGACCACCAGCAGAAGGTTGCAATAATCCATGTGTAGCCAATAATGATCCCGACAGGATTTGCCTCGAGCCCAACGAAGACTGCACTAAATTCTGTGTTTGTCACAATGGAGTTTCGACGGTAGAGAATTGTCCGAATGGTTTGCATTATAATCCAGAACTCATGACTTGTATGGACCCAGCAATCGCAGGATGTATACCTTATGGTTGTATTGGTGAGTGTCCTTCTGATTTTGTAAACCCTGACGCAGCTTGTTTGCTAATTCACGCCGACTGCACCAAATACTGCCACTGCGTCCGCGGCAATCCTGTAGTTGAAAATTGCTACTCGGGCCTGCACTTTAGTTGGGATCTTGCACGTTGCGATGATCCGTTTATGGTCGAGTGTGACCGGATTAATGGAACTGTTCCTTCTTCATCGACCTCCTGGTTACCTCACGGTCATTATTTCAATCGCCATTTTTACGCTAAAGAAATCGACTCGGAAGATTGTGTTGGAGATTGTCCTTTGGAGGATATCTTTGATGTGGCTGTTGTGCTGCCGCATAAGGATCAGTTCAAATACTGCCATTGTATCAAAGGACGGGCTTACGCTGAACTCTGTCCAGGAAATTTACGGTTTAATATCGCTAAGGCTAAGTGTGTCAATTGAAAATAACTATTAAAAATTTGTTTTTTTTTTTAATTTAAAAGCCTTTTAAAATTTTACTGTTTTATAATTATTTAAGTTTTTAATATGAAGTATTTTTATTCATATATCCAAGTGTTGTATTTATATTTAATGTTTATTTAATACTTAATTATTTTCAACTTGTGGATTCAAATAAATCATATGTTACGTCATTCGTGATAAAATAAAATAAGTTTAATTAAATTTTGCGGTATTTATAGACAGAAATCAATATTTGAATACTGATTTGAAATCCTTTGTACGCGTATCAACACTATTATTGTTGTTTAATTAAAATAATAAAAAAAAATAAAAATGAGACTTAAGTTCGCAGATACTTGACCATATTTTTATTTTTCTTTAAAAATAAAGTAAGTACAAAAATTATTAAAAAAAAATTTTACTTATAATTTTTTCGAGCTTCTTAAAATGAAATTTTTTAAATAAATTTTTCTTGCTATAATTTATTTGTTAAAAAAAAGTGATTGAGGTAAATATAATTGAAAGGTCGTCATTGACATATTTTTATTTTTCTTTAAAAATAAAGTAAGGATAAAAAATTATTAAAAAAAAATTTATTTATAATTTTTTCAAGCTTCTTAAAATGAAATTTTTTGAATAAATTTTTCTTGCTGTATTAGTATTAGTAGTTTATTCATATAATGTATGGCCTGAATGGCCTTTTACATCCCTTTCCGCTTTACAAGTATTAATTTTAATAAGGAAATTTTTCTTGCTGTAATTTATTTGTTAAAAAAAAGTAATTGAGGTAAATATAATTAAAAGGTCATTGACATATTTTTATTTTTCTTTAAAAATAAATTAAATATAAAAAAAATTTTATTTATAATTTTTTCGAGCTTCTAAAAAATGGAATTTTTTAAACAAATTTTTCTTGCTATAGCACGTAATTTACTTGTTAAAAAACGTACGTAATTTATTTGTTAAAAAAAATTGAGGAAAATATAATTGAAAGGTCATTGATATATTGTAATTTAATGGTGCTTGCTGTCCAAAAAGTACTCGAAGGGGGTACAATCAGAATTTTGAGGTAAATCGCAGTTTGAAATTTTAGAATTGAAATAAAGCGTCGGAGGACAATCCATTTCGATATAGCGTCCCCAATTGCACAGACAATATTTAGAGCAATTTAAGTGAGGGTACAAAATAACTTTACGATTAGATGAGTCGCACTCTCCCAATGAACATCCGTCAGTACGTACAGTCATTTCTGGTTCTGAATAAAGCTTCCCGCTGCCGAAATCGATCTGCGGAGATCCCGAGATGGATAATACAATCATCGAAAAAATAACTATAAACAGATAAGATTACTTGTTAGATTTATTTTATGAATCATGAATCATGGCTCAGGAATTATCTTAATTAGATCATCCACTGATTAAATTCTCATGTTTAATATCGCAAAATAAAAATAATAACTTACTTATAAATTTACTGCTAAACATTATAAATTGTAATCAATAATATACTTTGTAAAGACTGTGTAAAACTATTCAATAATAGATTAGAGGTCTTTTTATACTTAAATATCGACCAATTGGATAAAAATAACAAGCCCTACTCTATTTCTATTGCTTTATAGTTTTAATAGCTCTGTTTAGGCATCTAAATTTATCTAATACGATTAAAAAAAACATAAATTAGAGGCACTTACAAATTTTATTTATAGTTTCATTGATTTGTTGACCACTAAAATTAATAAATAATTTTGTATTCAATTTTGTTCCTGTAAAATAGATCGATGACGACTCACCTGATTTTTTACACGGAAATAATAATAAAAATTCCCACGTAATAATTTATAATTAGAGGCGCGCAGTAGCCTATCGGATCCGGCCCTTGCTTACCAAAGCATTGGACCGGGTTCGAGTCCGGCGTACACCAATGAATATTTTCATTATTTAAGTGTATTATTCTGCTCAGCCCAAGAAATAAAACGAGTTCCAATCTCGAAAGTTTACCCCCTACCGTAGTCGCTCATGACCTTTAGTAGTTTATGCGACTTTAAACAAATTAAAAAAAAAAAAAAATTTATAATTATATTTATTAAACTTATATAAATATTTGAGTCGGGTTTTTTTATAATTTTTTCTATTTAAAATATTTTTATTTTACATCAATTAAAAGTATTGCCCAATAATACTACAAGCTGATAAAAATAATTTTTTACTTATATAAATTAGCTATATAATTTTTAAAATAAATAAAAAAATGTAATTGTGGGCTACGATGTACTATTAAAACTTGATAAACCTCAGTCGGATCAAATAAAGTAAATCTAATGTAACATTGATAGGTGTGAGTTTACTTAATAAATATAACCACAGAGATATCATTTATTATTTATTAAATTTTGTGAATTAAGGATTAAAATCTAGTATATAAATTGAGGTAAATTAGTTCAGTCTGTCATTATTAAAAGTATTATTCTTAGTGTTAGACGATATTAACATAAATCTAAACATTTAAAAATGTTTAAATTTTTGAGTAAGTTATCAAACTTTCACACTTTATATCATTTTTCTTAAACAATTAACAATAATTAAAATAATTTTTAACAGTGATAGTATCAACAACAGTATTAAGCATCGTATTATCCCATCCGTTCAACGCGTGCATCGGAAAATGTCCACAGTCAAAAAATTCATTTGAAATTCCGACTCTGCTGGCTCATCAAGATTGCACTAAGTATTGTTTTTGCAATGACGGATGTCCTACGGTTAAAACCTGCCCGGGAAATTTTCACTTCAGCATGGACGAGCGCGTGTGTTTGCCAATTGAATTAGCCAAGTGCGATGATCGTAGAAACTGCTTAGGAATGTGCCCGATTATTTATAACACCCACAATGTATTAATTTTGCCGCATTATAACAGCAGTAAATTCTGTCATTGCCGAGAGTGGGGTGTACCGACCGTTGAAATCTGTCCAGAGTCTCTAGTATTTAACATTAAATACGCTTCGTGCCAAAAACCTATTCCAGATTGCCATAATGTTGAAATTGAAGCGCCTACAGTTTTCAGTGAGGGTGGTGCAATACCTCCAATTCTGTCGGGTGCTCTTAATGGTCCAATATTGATAGCCCCCGAATACGGGCAGACATCAACATCGGCTGATTCAATCTCCGAAGAAGAAACCACAGCTTCTGTTGATGAAAATGAAGTAACTACAACTATTCCTTCAACTGAAGCTTCTGACAGTGATTCAATGACTCTACTGGTAAATAACGAAGATGAAGTTACCGAATCTGAAGAAGAACCGACAACTGTTGCTGGAGATGATGCCACTAATGAACAAAATTATCCTGAAGATGATTCTGAAGATTTAACAACTATTGAATCCAATATTGGCGATGCAGCTACAACTGTGTATGAAATTGAAGTACCGGATTGTGAAAATTTGGTTACTGATGAACCAAATTATGAAGATTCAACGACTTTGGAATCAAAAATAGATGTTATTATTCCTACTGTTGCATCAACATGGGAATCGAATGAAGTTGAAACTACGGGAGCGTCAAAATTTGAAGATCCAACAACGCCAAAAGCTCCATCAAACGGTCGCAAGATAAGAATTATACCTTGTAACTGCACACAAACAGTATTTGTTGATAACAACCCACCAATCGCAGAGAAAGTACAGGTGAATTACTTACCATCAAATGTTGACGATTGCATCGGACAGTGTCCGGTTGATAATGATGTTAATTATACAAAACACTTACCTCATAAAAACTGCGAGCAATTTTGCAAATGCGACTGGGGTAAAGCGACTGTTATGAGATGTCCGCAAAATCTACATTTCAAAAGAGATCTTGGAATTTGTGACTATCCCATCTCCGCTAATTGCTCTGGGATAGGAGGAATCACTACTCTTTAACATAAATAATTTATTTACAAAACAATCTTCAGTTTATTCTTTGAGTTAAAAATTTATATACTTAAATTCTTACATCTATAATTATAATATATTATTTATATTACAGTCTCTAGATTTGTTTTTTTTTTTTTTTTTTCTTTTTTAGTATTTTTGTTGTAACAAATAAATTTAAAAAAGTATTCATTTATTGAATTTGTATAACGTAAAATTATTTTTTTTTTCTGTTTTATTCTATCGTGCAGTAGTTATCAGTACGTTATTTATTCTAGATAAAATTGAAATACAACAAATGTATATATATATATATATATATATATATATATA